CACACACACACACACACACACACACACACACACACTCACACACACACACACACACACACACACACAGACTTGAAATAAATGTTAGCAGAAGTAAATATATATTCAATATAAAACAACCAAATTACTCACTAAAACTGACATAAAAAATAATAAAACATGTATTGACATACATTTTTTTTAATAAAAAAAACATGCAAAAAAACAAAATGACTAAAAGTTTAACAAAAAAATAACATAAAACAGAAAGTATAAAAATATCCCCTGGTGTCAGAGCAGATGAGTGTGTAGCTGCAGGCTGCTGTTGTGTGTGTGTCTGTAGAGATCGCAGATATGGGCGAGCGCTTGTGGCGTGTTTTCTCTGCGGGCCGCGGTGAGCGTGTGCGCTGTGATCCGCCACGGGGTCAGCCGGAGCCGCAGGTGTGGTGGGAGCGTGCAGGAGCTCGTGTGGCGTCTGAGGGTCGAGTCCATCAACGGGACGGAGATCTGATCTTCAGCCCCACAGACAGATCAGACTCGGGCGTCTACACGTGTGTCGCCCGCAACACAGCCGGACAGAAGCAGCAGGAGCTCGTGGTCACTGTAGCCAGTGAGTGAAGCAGCAGACACATCACGAGTCCAACTAACTAACTAACTAACTAACGCTGTTAACCCTGCGCTTTCTGGAACGGCTCTTAAATCGGAAGGATGTCTGTTGTAAGATCTGGGATTTTTGATATGTTCACAGATATTATCCCTGTAAAGCCTGACATATTTTAATTAATTAATTTTATTGAATAATCTAAAAAAAATAAGTGTGTACATGTGTTTTATGTTGAGTATCATATTTAATGCATCAGGCTTTTATGGCTCGTATAGTCTGATATAGTGAGAATAACTGAGCAAAAATATGAATTTGCTGCAGATGCTGATATTAATGTGATGGGATTTTGATTTTTGTAATGTAAATCAGTGAGATCTTTATAACGATGCAGCAGATACTGACATAAAATGATCTAAATATCAGTGTACAATTACACTAAAAGAGCTTTTACTGGATAAAACACTCTAAACTATCACTCAGACGACAGAAAACATGAGGAGATTGAGTGTGAAACAGCTTTAACAGCAGAGTTTGATCATTTATAGCCTTAGAAATGAATAAATCAAATATGTGTGATGGTTAGTAAAATGTGTTCCTGCAGCACAAAAGCAGTCATAAGTCGCTGGGGTATATTTGTAGCAATAGCCAACAATACATTGTATGGGTCA